TGAAATCAGTAAATATTAGTAAAATACAAACAATATAATTGTTTTTAAACCCTTGGCAACAGTAAACTACACCACCCGTCATGCAGTTCGCGGCAGCCTCCATTGAGTTCCGGGTCACGGGGTTAAAAGCTGAGATGTTTTGGTTGTGGAAGCTGTGCTAACGTTAGCCTGGATGTTAGGACGGGTCTGTGTCCGTGTCCGTGTCAGTGCTTTTTAAAGATGGACGCGCTGCACAGACACAGGTCACTTTATAAAGGAACCACTCCGCCATGGAAGGAAACGTACCGCAGAGTAAGACGCACATCTGTTAGCCGGTGTTAGCTAGTGTTAGCTGGTGTTAGCCCGCTAGCCGTGTTAGCTAACTCTTGTCTCCCCTGGTTCCTCCAGCGCTGTGTGGACCGGCTGAAGAACAGCCGCTCCAGGCTGCTGGAGAGGTACCGTCAGACGGGAGAGAGCCCGCAGTGCAGCGGCTCCGGAGCCTCCATCATCGTCCAGGAGGTGATGGAGGAGGAGTGGAGCGCCCTGCAGTCTGAGGCCCGGGGACTGCCCTCCCTGCTGCGGCCAGAGGGGATGGCAGAGGTCGGTCTGTTTGTCTCAGCCCCCCCCCTCTCTTCTGTTGTTAATAGATAGTGTAAGACACTGACAGGGGACATAGTCTAGTCTCAGTGTCTTGCTGCCTCTGGAAACTTCTGGACAACAACTTCTGAAACAATGCGAACCTTGACTTCATTTGTCCATTCTGTCGTTTGTAGCTGAGCTGCCTGCTTTTTAAAAATCCACCTGAGATTTCTGAACCTGGTGAATGTCCTCGTCTTTTTCTTTTGAACAGATGTTCAGTGTCATGAAAGAGTATGATGAACTAGCCGTCCTTGAAGAAATCCAACAGGAGCTCATGTCTCATGGTAACATGTTTATATAAACTGAATCTTCTCTTTCTATTTGTTATATGAAGGCGACAGAACCACTGTCTGTTGTACGGTCTAATGTATTGTGACATCCCTGATACTGTGGTAATCTCCGCTGATGTGAGATACAAAAGCACATGAAACAATCTGAGCTTTTTTGATTTCAGAAATGTCCATAATTGACGAGTATGAGAGAAACCTGCAGTTTGAGGAGCAGTTCATATCGTCTGTCGTGGAGGGGATGGAAGAAAAGCACATCGTTTGTCCCCTTTGTCACAAGTGAGTCTGGGATTTGCTTCCATCAAATAGTTTGTCGTGTTAGCATCTATGTGGATTAACTACAACTAATTTAAAGTTTGACCATATGAAGCTGTTTCTATCCAGTTCTCAGCTTTAAGTGCTTCTTGTTTCTTGTAGGAACAACTTGAACATCAACAGTCATTTCATCTCCTGCCCCTGTGGGCTGTACATCAACACTAAGGTTTGTGTGTTGAATGAATGAAACAAAAACTGGGGGGAAAAGCCAAAGGTTCATTTACATGAGTGAATATTGTCCTCAAGCAAAATGCTGCAATGTTGTACCACCTGTCCTCAGAAACGGGACATTACTCCAGACGTCCTACGCCATCTGCTGGAGTCCAGGGTGTCGGAGCACATGGAGGACTGTCTGCACAACCCTGTGTTCTCTGTCGCTCCAGACACAGACAGCTCTCCAAACCTGATGATAAGCTGCCAGGTAAGGTGCACGCTCACTGCCAGGTCGTCCAGGCAGTTCACAGGGCTGTGTGATGAGACGATACATATTGTGTGATCGTGTAAATACATCTGTTTAGATTTTTTACAAGTTCATTGTTTCCTCTACTTTCAGGTCTGTGACTATCTGTCCATCGTTCTGTGAGAACGGTCACAACGATCATGAGTGACTCGACTCGTGAGATATGATTTTGAGTATTTTGTACTCTGTATATTTTATGAAATAAAAACTATTTTAAATATTTAATGTGGAGTTGTTCTTCCCTCTTGTGCTGCTACACCGACAACCTATGAAGGCTTCACCATTTTATTTGATCTCTCATTCCCCGAGATACCCTCATTATAAGAAACATACGGGTTAGTGATAAACTGGCAGTGTATATCGGGAAACAGTCATAAATCATCAAATCAGGACTGAGACGACAGGAAGAGGCACAGAGGAAAGAAGGGCAGACACTTTCATAGTATTCAAAAGACAGTAGATAAAAGAAGAAGAAGAAGAAGCATCAGAGAAGCAAAGGAAGAGGTGATATGAGGTTTAGTCATTCGGGTCTAAATAGCAGCCTGAAGATAATGAACAGATGTGACAGTTGTAATCATCAGGAAACAGTGGAGCATTTATCTTTTAGTCTTTCCACAGTAAAAGAGACAGACACTTAAAAACTCAGTCCAAGGAAATAGTTCTACCACAGGTTTGATAATATCATAAACATTATCTATGAAATGTTTGTGGAAGCAGCCTTTTGTCACTGTGCACCAAAGGTTAAAATGAGTTATCAGTGATGCAGAATATATTCAGGTTTCTAAAGAATACAGGAGTCTAGTTCAGAAGTTAGGTAAATATCCATATGTGTTTATTTTGTTTTTGTTTACTGGAAATACTTAATACAGATACTGTACAGCAGATATCACCAAGTGATGAAGAGTTGAGACAGTAGAATAAATAACTGAGGGTTTTATTCAATGAGCATAAACCACAAATAGGTTTCAGGATATTTGTGTCAGTCATGTATTGAAGAGTTTTAACAGACATCTTCAGTTCATACGTTGATATGAGATTGATTATGAAACATTATCACCTGTGAATAAAGAGCTGATGTGAAACAATCGGGTTATTTATTGAAAATCAAGGTTTTATTCTCTGTAAAGTTTTCACCTGCATCATATTCAGAGGAAGAAGAAGAAGAAGAAGAAGAAGAAGAGGTGGTCAGGAGGCGGAGCTCGGCTGCACCTGTAGGGGGCGCCACAGCTGCTGACCGGAACCCAGCGGGGCAGAGGAAAGATGGCAGCCGCGGCGGTGGCTGAGTTTCAGAGAGCTCAGTCTCTTCTGGGGACAGACCGGGACGCGTCCATCGACATCTTACACTCGATAGGTAAACAAAGCACCCAGAGGGGGCACGTCGCATCCGGCTCCGACGCGTCGTTCACCGCCGGACGGGTGCAGCAGCTCCGTGAGCCGCATTAGCAGCTAAGCTAAGCTAAGCTAACCCGAGTGCTGGCCGTCTCCCTGCTTTTACACAGTGAGTCAGCAGCAGCGTGCTAGCCGGCTAGCGACACACCGGCTAGCTCCCGGGTGAAGCTAGCGCTAGCTTCCCACGCTCATTCATTTAACAGCGGCTCAGCTGACGGCTAGTGCACGTTAGCATCTCGCCCCGGACGCGTAGCTCTCTAACGTCACCGTCCGATTCTCCAGCGGTCGGCTCGCGGACCCGCTGAGCCTCTGTGTCGCAGCTGGGGCTCGAACACGGAGCTGTCACTGTGGTTCCATGTTTGATTTGACAGGTGTTCCACAGCTGGTTAGCATCCAGCCCGATGATGGAGCCTCACGTAATGTGAGGGGGAGGGGGGGGGGCATCAGCTGTTTCTCTGTTTGTGTGTCACTGTGGATTCAATTACATCATCATGGTGTGTGTGTGTGTGTGTGTGTGTAGTGAAGCGGGACATCCAGGAGAGTGATGAGGAGGCAGTGCGGGTTAAAGAGCAGAGCATCCTGGAGCTGGGTGCACTGCTGGCCAAGACAGGACAGGCTGCGGGTAAACACAACACAACACTCACTCACTCACTCACTCACACACACTCACACACACACACACACACACACACTCAACTGTGTCTGATTCATGAACCTTTCACAGCTCAGTCAAACCACATGAGCTGGATCCTGACTCCAAGTTCACAGTCCAGGTTTTTCCACAGTTATCCTGAGACGGTTTTTCTTCGTGCTCACACTCAAGTCTACCCTGCTTGTGTGTCGGATGTGCTCAGATTATTCTGCTCAACAAGTCTGTCAAACTTCCTCCTCCAGTAGAATGCCGTGTGTGTGTGTGTGGGATGTTTCATGTGTGCGTTAGAAGCAACGTGAGCGAGGGGGGAGAAGAGCTGAAGCTCGAGCACAGGAAAGCCGAGCACAAGCTGGGTATATTTTAAAGTGAGAGCAGAATCTTCAGTGAGAGCATTACAAGATCAAAACATGAGAGCAACTCTTTTTAATAAACCTACACACACTTCTATTCACCAGCCATAGAAGCAGATTGACCACGAGCTGTTTATAAGTTCGTCCCTCTTCTTCTTCTTCCTCCTCCTCTCATCGTCCTCTCAGAACTTGGGGGCCTGCTAAAGTATGTACGCCCCTTCCTCAACTCCATCTCCAAGGCCAAGGCAGCCCGGCTGGTCCGCTCCCTGCTTGACCTCTTCCTGGACATGGAGGCCGCCACAGGTCAGGAGGTCGAGCTCTGCCTGGAGTGCATAGAGTGGGCTAAAGCTGAGAAGAGGACCTTCCTCCGACAGGCGCTAGAGGTGAGACTTTCAGGTTTATCCTAACGAGCCTTTCACACTTGGAACCAGACAACTTTACTAAGATGCTTGATATCGTGGGACTTTTCCGTGGATCGTTGTCAAATCAAGATTTGGTTCAACTTATCCAGCTGACACCAAATGAATGGATAATCAAATTGATAACAGCATCACACCAAAAGTCCATGAACTCTCTGAGGTTCCCACCGTCTTAATGTTTGAATCCAGCCGTTGAATCTATCAACTCAACATTTAATAGCTTTATAGTTTTTGTGAGTGGGTACTGACTGTCAGCATGTTGATCCTTGGTGTGTGTGACATTCAGGTTTCAGACGTTCAACTTTGTAAAAACTTTAAAGTGCAGAACAAATATTCTATCTTGATATAATTCCTCTGCAAACAAACAGGTTCTAAACATGGCGCTGAGATTGTGTTTGTTTTCTTCTCTCCTCAGGCTCGTCTCATTTCACTGTATTTCGACACAAAGTGCTACCAGGAAGCACTGCAACTCGGTGAGGCTTCACACACCATCACATCAAGTTCTCATGCTCAATGAAATTTGTCGGATGAGATTTCTCGTGAAGATCTGGAAACGTTGCATTGACTCTGTGCTTCCCTGTCTCTCTCGCTCTCTCTCTCTCTTTAGGCTCCCAGTTGCTGCAGGAGCTAAAGAAGATGGACGACAAGGCCCTGCTGGTGGAGGTTCAGCTGCTGGAGAGTAAGACGTACCACGCGCTGAGTAACCTTCCCAAGGCCCGTGCCGCCCTCACCTCTGCCAGGACAACCGCCAACGCCATCTACTGCCCACCCAAACTACAAGCAGCTTTAGACATGCAGTCAGGTACAACACGTGTTACCTCTACAACGCACAACGCAGAGTTAACGAGCTGGAGGACGAAAACTCAAGTTTCTGTGGTCAACCTGACGTTTACTCTGTGTGTGTGTTTTCAGGGATTATTCACGCGGCAGAGGAGAAGGACTGGAAGACGGCTTATTCCTACTTCTACGAGGCCTTTGAGGGCTACGATTCCATCGACAGCCCCCGAGCCATCATAGCCATCAAATACATGCTGCTCTGCAAAATCATGCTCAACTTGTAAGTGGTGAAACATGACTGTCGATGATTTTATACCAATAGAAGCTGATAATAGTGGAGGACAGCCATTCTGGAACTAATCGGCCTTTTTCTTTAAAGCTACTCTCAGACATGCCCCATTTTTCTGTTTCAGGCCAGACGATGTCCAAGCCCTCATCAGCGGGAAGCTAGCTCTCCGGTACGCTGGCAGAGAGGTATTCCCCCAGCACTTGAATTCTTATTTAAATCAATCGCTCCGCCAAACAGTGACTGTCAAGTTGAATTATCTTTTGCTTCTGACACTAATGTGCTGATCGGACACGATGAAATCCTGTGACTGCTGGAATGAATGAGGTTTGAATCTGACAAAAGCCAGAAGTTAGTGGGTGTGTGTTCTTCTTCTCCTCCAGATGGACTCTCTGAAATGTGTGGCACAGGCCAGCAAGAACCGGTCGCTCGCAGACTTTGAAAAGGTTTGTGTCTGGAGTTCGATGCCGCATGTTTAACAACATTGATAATTGAAGTGCCGTCTCTCTCCTCACCTGTGATTAACATGTCTCACTCCCACCGTCTCTTAGGCACTGACAGAGTACAAACCTGAGCTGAGTGATGACCCCATCATCAGCACCCATCTGACCAAGCTGTACGACAACCTGCTGGAGCAGAATCTCATCAGGGTCATCGAACCTTTCTCCAGGGTCCAGGTAAGATCCTCACACGGTTCTGGCAAAGAATACTCAGTTAATAAAGTTTACTCTTGTGGGTTTAAACTTTGTGTTCTTCTCTTATCTCCCACAGATAGCACACATTTCCTCCCTCATCAAACTCTCAAAGGTACATTTTAGTTTTTCTTTTACATTTTTAATTTTCATGCCACACAATGAGTTCAGAGGTTTCCACAGTGAAACACAGTCTGGATGTGTCTGACTTACAGGGAGACGTGGAGAGGAAGTTATCACAGATGATTCTGGATGAGAAGTTTCACGGTAAACATCAGTTTTATTCAACTTCATCGGCTTCCCTGGATTTCACTTTGCTTGATCGATAACTGGTGTGAAGATGATTCGCTGCAGCTGCTTCGTGCCATTAAAGTTCAAAATGCTTCATCCCCTCATCGTCCTCTAAACAGCTTTTCTCTCTCTCTCTGTCCCTCACCATCTGAACTGACAGGTATATTGGACCAAGGCGAAGGCGTCCTGATTGTCTTCGACGAGCCAGTTGTGGACAAGACGTACGAGGCGGCCCTGGAGACCATTCAGAACATGAGCAAAGTGGTTGACTCGCTCTACAACAAAGCCAAGAAGCTCACATAAGGTCTGTGTGTTAATTATATAAATGAAATGTTGTGGAAACCTCAAAATATATCACGACTCAACGGGACGACCGCTTCACTCACATGTGCTGCTAAAAATACACGTGTGCTAACTGTCCGGTCAAACTTAAAACATCGTATTCCTGTAAATTTTGTGTTCACTGTCCTCAACCAGTCTTCGTCTCCCCCCCCCCTCAGAGAGAGCGAAGTGTCCGTCCTCCTGTCCGGAGTGATGTGGACAAGTCAGACCTCCGTGGATCGCTCACTTCAACCCAGGAGGGGACGGAGGAGGGGAGGAGCAACGAGGAGAGTACAAACACTCAACAATCCAGCAAGCAAAT